CCTTCCGAACTTGCTTGGAGCAGTGAGCTCCTCCTTGATTGGAGGAGAATCTACGGCTGCGTCGAAACAATTGCAGAAGAACACTGATACCGACGTGAGGTCAGCGGTGGCGACGCGACGACAAGTGTCCCGTTCCAAGAATGAGACGAAGTCAAGGAACACCGTGTCTGTGCGGGTCACGGCACCGCAAACAAGAAGACGTATGTACTGGGTACAGACAGCCCGCAGGTCGGGCCTGCTGCGGGGACAAACACGCCTGTACCGGGTACAGACAGTGCCCAGACTGGGTCCGCACAGACGACGCCTAAGCCGGGTCTGCTGTGGAGAAGAAAGCCGTGCTGAACAAGCCATTCAGCTTGCAATTACTGAACTTTGTCCAGCGCCGACAAGCCGTAATATGATTTGGCCAGGACGCAACAGCAGCTTCTGTAGACAAACAGAAGATGAACGCAAACAATGTCGGTAAAGGCGACACCAATGAATTCAATAGGGTTCATTAGCTCTGTTAGCTACGCAGAACCCAACCACGACATGCGGTCTCTGAATTCGGTGCAAGCAAGCTTGCTCCGCCCTTCATCGGCCCGCTCACAGTACTTGAACGGCAATGCAACGCGTATACGTTGGACATTCCGTCCAGCATTCGACTCCATTCGACATGTTACGTCGGGCAGCTGAAGTTTTACGAGCAACACGGGCCATCTAGTCTCGATGGCTCGAGGATGACGAAGCGGCGTGAGCCAGGTTCCCGAGCGCGGCGACGCGGACCTCAGCTCCAATCCAAGTGCGACTTGAATGTTCAAAGCGGTAGCTCCTGTCGTAGGGCAGCGAACTTCCCGCTCTGGGGTTGTTCCAGAGCGACGCCACGGTCGTACAGAGCACGGGAGTCATAATTAGCCTGGGTTGGCCATGCGGAGGGTGTCTTTCCGCCCCCACCGCCGCTGCGTGACCCGCACGGCTCGACACGTTGAACTGTCGAGCGAGTCGTGGACTATGAAGCCCCAACGACGAACTGAGATCAAGCTCGTCTTCGTATTCATTGGAGAGGATTTCCTCCCCATCGAGATGCATGATAGCCACGGAACGTCCTGATGAAGGACGTTCGGGAAATGGTGAGGGCGTACGAGGCCCAGAACCGAGTGCGAGAGCCTCCAGCACGGGGTGCATCACGGTACTCAAGCTGAGCACGGAGGTCTCGCAGAGAAGCGGGTACACGTACCCGAGAACATCGCGTTCAGAAAGGCGCACTGTCCCGAGGTAGCAGTGCGAACAAGCAGTTGCAGGTGAAACTGCGCAGGGGATTCCGCTTCCATAGGGTCAATATGTAAGCGATCGACGAGATGACGTTTCGAGAAGGTCTTGAAGCGCTGGCGAGCCGCGACAATACGCTCGCCGTGGACTTTCGCATCGTTGCTGAAGCTCACAACGAATGCGTTTCAAGATTTACAAAGTGCCACCCACTCAGGCACTTTTCTCTTGCGCGAAGTTTTCTTCGACGCATTCCATCGGAGCTCATGAAAGCGTCCGACGCAGTAGTCGCGCCATTGATTCGTAGACGAATCAAAGTGCATGTCAACGGCCTCAGCGAAATCATTGATGGCGCTTCACACGTACAATCCTATCGCGTTCGGCAGCGATGTCGCGCCGAACCTGTCAGCGATTTCGGATGCAGTTGGCATCCAGGGAGCGCGTACTGCAGATGCAGTATGCGCAGAAGAAAAAGGCACTGGCATAGGTGACTGCGCCTCTTTTTCATTGCGCGGACGCTTTATTTCAGGAGCGTTCGGATCATCGTCACAGCCACCCCGCGACCCAACAGGGGGGATCGGGCGTTGGTTCAGTCGACTTAGAGTCGACAGATGAAGACGAGGTGTCCTCGTCTTTCATGGGGACGTCTTCGATGTCCGATCCATAGTCAATGGGTATGTCTCCATCAGTAGATATAATGACGAGCCCTCCATGACGACTGACGGTTTGTCAGTCGTAGCTTTTGCGTAAGCATAGTGTGATATTGCGTGACAGAAAGATTCTGTCGCGGGCGTGCTCTCTTGCGCAGACACTGAAGTGATGGTGTTTGCGGGTGCAGGCACAGACGTGACAGGGCCTGCCGGAGCAGACTCTTGCGCGGGCGTCTTCCTCGGCGAGCTCATTGCAAAATGAGCTCGGGTTTCTCAGGTGTTTTGACGGCCTCGTCAATACTTTGAATGGAGTGTTAAGACTAGAGCAGTCTTAGTTTAACGGAGAGGGGTAACAAGGTTATACGCAAGTGGCTACACATAGCCACTTAGTTACGAAAGCGGTTCTCCACATTCGTGTGAGATATACCAATGGCTTCATTTGGCAGACTGTTGGTATGCATGCATCCAATGCATTCATAGGTTGAAAGTCAGTATCTTCTTTAATAGGATTTTGTCAGCTATTCGCTGATAAATATCTTTCATTTACAATATTAGATTAGGAGTATAACCCAGACAAACAAAAAAAACAGTTTTTCTCATTCTACCGGAAATCGGCTTTGCTTTCCTTTTTAAGTAAATAAATATTTTCGGACGAAAGAATAGTTATTTTTAGTGAAACACAAATAACGCTTGTTCATACACGAGCGCTACCGTGTAAGCCGAAGCAGTGGGCTTTAAGTAGGCCCATTACATGTTTTCCATCGCGATATTGTCTAGGAAATATGCCGCAGCGCTGATCTCTCGTTTTCGATGTCTCTAGGTGCGTACCAAGTGTCGTTACCCCATTCTTCTGTGCGACCAATATAAACGTCGTAAGTGGGCTGCTTTCGGTTATCGTCTCTGCGCATGCTAGCTAGTGATGAGACCCCCCCCTTTATGAAGTGGTGCCCTTGCAGCATCCCAATAAGCGAGCTCTCCGCTGCTATCTAGTCGAAACGCACATCCGCCTCTCCATGGAGGAGGTTGATGATCTCCAGAAAGTTGATAACTTAGGTTAAGATAAGTGGGCTGCTCGAATTACCAGTGTGAATGGTCCCCGCCCACACAGGACTCATAAAACCTTTTGAATTTGACCGATGGATGTCGTGCCTTAAAGTAACTTACCCTGTTTCCGTAGCACTCGAAACACCGATGCAGATCTACCGATTTCGTCATCGGATTTAAAGAGGAACAATTCACCGATGCTTGCCCGGGAAGCCACTCCAACCAGGTGTGTCCGACTTGTCAACCCTTATGATCGTGTCGTTTTGTCAGAGCAGAGCCCACAAAGCCCGCAGCGTCCGCACGCAAAACACCCATATCATTATCTGCGCTGTATGCTTCGAAGTAGCCATCTTGCGTGTACAAAGCCACCAAGTACGCCCTCAGGGCAAAACAGCAACCTCGTTGCTAGCAATTAGGCCGCCCCGTGCCTACTGGGAGCTGCCGCTTCCCGGCGATGACCCGGAGGGTTGGCTCGCCGGAGCCTGGCTCGTCTTGCGCAGAGAGCAACAAACCCTTAAGTGTTTAGTGCTATTGCACACAATGCATCGGCAGGTGCCGGTGCGCTGCTCCGCAGCAAGAAGCTCCGTTTCTTCATCTTCAGCATATCTGGAGCTCAGCGGTTCCAGATCGCTGGAAGCGCTCACGTTGAGCGCTTCAACCAGGTCGAGTCGACTTGAAGTAATGCTCGGCATTCATAGCTATATTCACCGCCTCTTCGAAAGAGTTTGGGTGTACACGGAATACTTCCGTTTGCGCTGCGCTCACGCGGAGTCCGTCTATGAACAAGTTACGGAAGCGGGTCCGCCGCCATGCCGACGATAAGAGTTCTCAACTCTTGGACACAGTCCGATGACTTTTTCTACCCTGTCGGGTAGAAAGGAGCTTCGACCAAAACGGAACGCCTGATTAGGTGGCGCAAACACGCGCGAAAGATGTTACTTCAGTTAGTTCGAAATGGGAAATACAGCGTCTACAGACGTGCCACAAGTTAGTGCCCACTCACGGGCGCGACCTCTAAGTCTAGATATAGCAAGCGCCACGCGATGATGCTCAGACTGGAGCAGGCTGGTCATCTTGGCTTCACGGTTCTAAAGAATGAGACTCTCTCCATCGTTTCCTTCGAAGGCCTTCACGCTCACCATGAGCGATCTTGGTCACAAAGACTCGTCACGCGTCGTCGACGCCACCGCCGTTGCGGCGATCATCTTCTCTTGGATATGCTCCAAGAGTGCTTTCCTAACGCGAGAACGATTCCAGTCTAGCGCTCACAGTCTCTGGACCTTGCGACACAAGATGAGTAACACGCCCCGGACCTAGCAAAAACATAAGCTTAGTAAGCGCGTCCTGCTGTTCCAGAGGTAAATTCGCGAGCACTGGGTGTTCCATTCTCGCAGGGGATACAGTCAACCGACTAAAGAGCGGGATTGACTACAAGTGCTACCAAGTGCAGGGCTGCCGTAGCTTTCGCGTCGGAGAAGACGTACGACTCAGAGTCACTACTACTAGGTTTCTTATCCTAAGGACACTTACAGCCCACAACCAGGGCTCAAAGATAATACCGTAACTTTGTGCTCCTAAACCAGAAGTGTTTATTTACTATTACTGCGGCAGGAGTAAATATATATGTGTAACTTTCTAACATAGCGCATGACGAGAGCGCTCTTAAGTCGCCGTTTATCATACTTAAGTGGGTTAACTCACAATTACAGATTTGCTCTGTTGCACGCGCGTTCATTCAAAAACCGCGCTTGCTTGCGGGGCTCCGTTCGGCTTGTTCCATCAGATAACTTACCAGGCGGATCTAGACTTAAAATATTGGGAAGGGGGCTCAGCCAAAAAAATAGGTTATGAGAAGATTTGGGGGCTAGAATTAGACCTTTGATTAGTCCAATTGAGGTACTTTCCCTTAAAATCGAAACTGTACTTGAGGGTTCTCAGGTAAAAAAAAAATACAGAGAATTTACGGGAAAAAAATTGTATCGACCCTTCAATCAAAAATTCCATCTCGCATTGTTTTTCTCTCTTGCGTAGCCGTGGAAGAGAACCAAGTTACAATAACCCATGGGCACAAGCAATCTGGAGGTGGCACTGCCAACTGCCATGGAGCGAACGGAAGAGTTCTCTGCTGCTCTGCCAATGGAAAACCTGTACCCTATTTCTCATTTTTACGTACGTGATTGTTACCCGGAGTACTATGAACTGATTTTGAAGACGCTGTATGAGTGCAACTACAAGATCGTCACAGTCACGGGAACGCCGGGTAGGTATTTATGTAGTACTTTCTTATGTAGTCTTAATGTCGGGGCCTAATGTCAGTGGGTGGATGTGTTTGCATCAGGAATCGGCAAATCTGTTTTCTACGGATACTTCTTCCATCGCTACAAAAGCAAGCCCAACCTGACGATTATAACCGCTTCGTTTACGACAGAGTCGAAGATGAAGGAGGCTGTTGTGTTTCGAGGTGGTGCAGATTGTGGAAGCGCATCGGGATCTTCACACCAATTCATACGAGATGCACAAGTTGCTGCTTTAAAACGCAAGGACGAAGTTCTATTCTTGTACGATGGACCACCGGATATTGAGCCGAAAATGCCTTCAAAGATGGTTTGTTTCGCCAGCCCAAACGAACAATGGCTCAGCAAGGTTTCCAAGAAAGAAGAGGCGTGCACGCTATATATGCCGCTGTGGGACGAGGGCGAACTGATCGCTGCTGCAGCTTCATTGAAGATGCCTATTTCCCCCCAGAAGATTGAAGAACGTTTCTCCATATTTGGCGGTGTGGCGCGTTGCTGTCTCGCACGAAATGAAAAATTTGTTATTGCTCGAAAACGGGAGTTAGAGAGCGACATTGCTGGTATGGATTCTCAAATGGTGCTTGATCGGTTGCTTAAAGGGATACTGGGAGGGCCTACGCATCATCGGATGTGCCACTATATACCGAAACGCGATGACCCTGAAGATTTTGATGTCCGAATTGCATCGAAGTTTGTCTCTCTTCGGGTTCTGGAGAAGATTAGTTCTCGCGCATACACAAATCGAGATCTGCTGCTTTCGTATCTCGAAGATATTTCTAAAGTGGCAGCGTTTCGAGGACATTTACTTGAGATGAAAGCGCATGAACAATTGGTACGTGGTGGTGATGTTTGCGCAAAATGTATCTCATTCGACCGCGAATTCACAGAGACTTTCGTCTGCCAAGAAAGTGATGACTTTTACTTCTTTAACTCCGAGGACTTGTCACGAGAGACGCTACGATTGGGCCCGTATCACATTTCACGCGCTTCCAACTACGAGTCGATTGATTCGTTCTACTACCCGATACAATGCGCATCCGAGACCCCCAGTAGGTGTGAAGTCGCTGGTTTTGGATCTGCATCGAATATCCTACTGTTCCAAATGACGGTATCGCCAAGGCACCCTGTTGACGGGAAGGGCATTGTGAGTGTTCTGGATTCCCTCGAATTGTTGGATGAAGCTTTGTTCAATCCGAACCGAGTGAAGCTAATTTTTGTCGTAGCCAACGATAGCCAGCCCAGCCTTGCACGCAAGCAACCAATTCCCTGGAGTCCAGCAGCCGACTCCAACCAAGTTAGCATCATTAAACACATTGACGATGCGAAGATGAAACAGCTTTTCGACTTGGAAATTAAGACGGTGAGAGATCTCCGCAGAGCCGTTCGTGGAGGGCCAACAAATAGTTTGCTAGCTGAGTGCCAAGCTGATCTGAACGCATTTGATGAAAGCCAGCAATTGACGGAGAGAATGCTGACAAGCATCACCCAGTACGTGTGGGAGGTGTAGGTAGCTGGTTTCATATTCTTTAACGGTGGGTTAAATTTTTACAATCTGAGCTTGCAAATCTGCTAAAGTGCTTTTCCACCATTGTCTAGCTCTTGACCTGGATCTTCAAACTTGTTTTTTAAGTCATCCTGATTTTCATTTTGCAGAGCCAGGGACCTCTCTTCCTGTGTTCGATCGAGCTTTATCTCTTCATTGTGGACTTTCGGTTCTTCTTGTAGCGTCTGGCCTACGCATGCTGGCTGATCCTGCCCTAGTCCTTCATCAGTTTCGTGCTCTAAGAGGTTTCTGCTTCATTTGATTTGGGAGTTAATTTTGCCTTAATGACGTCTCCTGACCCAGACCTTTATCAGCCAGCTCTTGTCCTTGAATCTTCGCTTCAATTTGCTCGTGTTCAAGTGTCGTCTCTTCGTCCTCAAGTTGTTCTATTCCTTGCAGACGATCTGTGGTATCGGGTTGCTCTTCGTGTAGCTCCTGATTATCCAGTTCTCGATTCTCCTGTACCTCAAATATTTCTGTGCTATGAAAAATCTGTTCATCAGCCGGTGTATCTACCGTTGCCTCATCTTCAAAATGGTGTTTATCAATGTTTGCAGTCACCTCCTTGTCATCTTGATCATGCTGTTCTTTGACAGAGTTATTCTCCTCGCTCAGCACTTGCCTCTCACCCTCACCCTTTGTATCGTGATATCCGTAATCGTGGACTTCCTGTTCGGCATTTTGAGATCCATGCTCTTCACGCTCCAGCTCCTCTTCATTTACAACAGCATGAGAGCTTGATGGTCCCTTCTCCATATCCGTACCACCTTTCTTCTTTGGACGCTTTTCAATCTTCTCCAATTCATACTTCACTGGATCTGCTTCAGGTGCTGGAATCAGTGTCGCCAAAGACTCGATGTGCTCCAACTATCAGCCCCAACACAAGTTAGCATATTCCTATCCCTCGTATCAATCTCAACCTTATCATTGTACTCACCTGAACTTGGGCATCTGATAGTACCGCGACAAGGTAGCCACGATGTTCCGCCGCAGCTCGTTTCTCACGCGAGCTCACAAATCGCGCATCCTTTGATCTGCCTCTTCTTTCTTGTTTTTTCTTTGATCTCTTCTTCTTCTTGGCTGGAGATGTCGCTGGTAATCCGTTCCCTGTCACGTAACTCTTCAAAAACCTACTTCGTCCGTCACCACGAATTCGTTGAACTACACTGTAAGGGCTCTTTCCAGTCTTCTTTGCGAGCTTTAGCTCTGTAATCGCATCAGCCAGCGCACCAGTCGATTGGCTTTTGCCGATTTGGGTGCTATCCCCTAATGCCGCGAGACGGTGCTGTGGTTTCGCCTGTGAAAGACGATCGGCTGCCTCCATCATATGCCGAAGAGCATAGCCTCCGCGTTTTCCAGAGTCATTTTGTTGGTAAAGCTCTCGGAAAAATGCTTCTTCCCTCTGTTGCTGCTGTGGACTACCGTCTTTAAGAATACTGTCCGGAATACGAAGAGCACTGCTATCATCCATCTCGAATGATTCAATGCGAGGCGGCAGTTTTGGTGCCATCGGCAGGGAATGTAGTGTGCTGCGTGGACCTGTTTTAAGCTTCGCAGATCGATCATGTTGAATCTCGTTACTCGAAACGGGTTTCCATGCTGAAGCAGGAGGTTTTGATTGTGTCGCAGCGCGAGTTCCTCTGGTCAACGGGCTGCCTAAACTCGTAGTAGTTAGCAAGAGCAAGTCTGAGGAATCATCGTCGAAATGCTCTGAATGATTGGGTCTTTCTCGTACAGGGCGTAAAAGTGCTGGAGCACTAGCACTAGTTCGAATGCCCAGACCGTTGGCTTCAAGTGATGCAGTAGCGTAGTCTGCATACACGAGACAGCAACGCTCACAGACTCCTACCGTTCTGTGCAGGAATATCGGGTCTTGACGGTGTCGAGCGAAGTCTTCAGGACGTAGTGTCGGATGCATGTACCGGATCACGGGAGGAACGAGTAGCTCCCGTCCTTGCCACGCCTTCATACCAGACGTAGCACTCGGCAAATTCGTGTCATCACTACTAGAGTTTACAGTCTTGAGATACCGAAGGATGCCGAATCCTACACCTCCGGCTTGTTGTACAACTCGCTCGTTAGGTGGCCACTCGATAGCATCTCGGTTTGCTTCGTTGACTCGTTCACGAAGAAACTTTATCACGTGTTGAAAATGAGCCAACACAGCTTTGTACGTCGTAGGCAAGAGTGCACGAAGCGCCACCACCTGGGAGCAACTAGCGCAGCGCGTTTGTCCTGGGCGAGGTTCTTCGTCCATCTCGGGGCTCATTGTAGAACTTAGCGACACCTGTCCGCCACCGCCTTGTGCAAAGGCAAACATGGGGACTTTTACATCGCTGACAATGTCCAGTGGTCGAATATTCTGATCAAATTGCATGTCGGACGTAATCGCAGCCAGCGGAGGCTGTAAGCGCAGTGACGAACTCCACAATAACCACAATCGATCGTCCGAATCGACCTGAAGACGCAACGCCATTCGTGCGATTCGGGATTTGTGGTAGGACACACGTGTGACATGGTCTACAACCCGTTCACAGAGCTGCTGTACCATACCAGGCAACATCGAGCCACGCACTGGTTCAGGTCGACTGAGAGCCTCAGCGCCACCCCCTTCTTCGAAAGTCACGCCTCGTTCATAAACAGTAAACCGTGCGTCGTGGATGGCATGCACATTGATTCGACGCTCTAGCAAGCACAATTTGGGCGACCAAATCGCACGAAGAGTGGAATTCCTCGCTCCTTTGGGAAGCGTAAGCTGCTGAAGAATCCCTGTAGATTGTTGTGAGCCGGTAGAAGACGAATGCGGGACCTCTGGTCGTTTGTATAGGAAATCACGAAGTGCTTCTGCATCGAAATACTCGATAGCAGGAACAGAACTCTCCGCTTTTGGGATATACAAATAATACCCAACGATGTCCGTTTCAGCCTTTCGCTTGGTGAATGAATGTTCGATATGCGCCGCTGTGAGGTTTGCTCGGTGTTTGCGCTTGATGCGTCCACTTTTACGACTCGTGAAGTACCAGGCTACCGGCTGCGAGCCTCGATAAATCACTGTAGGGGGTACACTAACCCGAGGGCCACCTCCCAGATCATCCGTTGTCCACAAATAATGAAAGAGATTCTCCACCAAGCCATCACCTTCCAGTGGCAAAGCTGTTGCCATATCAGTCCTTCTGTTAAAGAACAAGAGCCATGTTAGTCACTTGGGACATAACAAAAGCGCTATTTCGGGTCGTCAGACGGAGTTTCAAGTCTTGACAATTCTAAAAGTTGTAGACGACGCTCCGCTTGAGCTGATCAAGAGGAAAGTATGAGGAGCAATCAACAAGTATCGCCAACAAAGTCTCTCAACGGGGATCTAGCTGGAGTTAATGCGGGGCCTGCTGCAGCTGAGCCGGAAGCAAAAGGTCAGCAAGACTTGCAGCATGCTGTGGATTTATACCAGAAAGGCATGGAAATCGCGCATGGAGCGTCCACGTTTGAAGATCACTGTCGGGCGATTGAGAGCTTCAGCTTGGTCATCGACAGGTCCGAAGCTCGCTCGTTTCTTCCTCGCTCGTGGCAATGCATTTCGAGCTATTGGAGAACTTGAACGGGCTGCCAAAGACTACGGATCTGCGATCACATTGGACGATCGTAGTGCACTTTACTTCGCCAACCGTGGAGCTTGCTATCGTAAGCTCAACCAGACGGCAAAAGCTCTCGAAGACCTCACCACCGCGATCGAACTGGACGGACGGAAAGCTCCGCACTACTTTAACCGCGCTCTTGTGATGCACGACGCCGGCTTTTATCGCGAGGCCATCATTGATTTCTCGAAAGCACTTGAAGATGGATCCACGGCAGGAAATACTGTCGCTAGTAACGCTGGAGTCCCTGGCGGTGGAATCGGTCTTCGGGTCGAGTATCGTGCCTTACAGAGTCGTGCCAACTGCTACCGGCGACTTGGACACTTGTCTAAGTGCATTGACGACTTACAGGCAGCTATCAAGCTGGATCCTCGCAATGCGTCAGCATTTAGTGCTCTAGCACTCGCTCATTTCGAGTGTGGTGACTTCGAACTTGCTGCTGACGAGTTTACACAAGCCATTGAGCTCAACTCCGGGAGCGCCAGTTACTTCAGTTATCGCGGACTGTGCTACTACCGCCAGGGTCAAGAAGCTGCTGCAAAACAGCGACAACAGCGAAATGCTCCACCCAATATCTTCAGTGGGATGGGGACTTTTGCACGGCAATGTCTGGCAGACTTTAACAAGTGCATCCAACTTGATGGCCGCGATCCGCAAGCGTACTTTTACCGAGGCTCTGTGAGACTCGCACTGGCGTTAGATCTTGACCAAATGCCTTCAACTACACCAACAAACACGATCGCCACCGAAACAAAGCCAGTGAGTTCATCAAATGCTGTCCGTTGCGGCACAAGCGAAAGTAGTGAACCTACCGCCAATGTAGTCGTAGCTCCGGTTTCGATTGTGAGTTACATGTCTGCCGCTGAGCAACTGGAAGCAGCTTTTGCAGATATTGAAATGGCCTGTACTCTGTGTCCCACTGGCATCCCTTATCAGATCGGCATGGCTATGATCATGCAGCTGAAGCAGCAACACTCAGAGGCTCGATCCATGCTTGAAGCAATCGCAACAGGTTCTTCTGAAACGCGTAAGAGTGTCTTGGTCCAATTTCACACAGCGCTTTGCTGTCACGCGCTCGGTGATTATGAACGCGCAGTGGAATTACTTACTGATGCCCTGGATGCACTCCCGGATGAACCCATCTTTCTCGAAGCTCGCGGACTGATGCTGCAAGAAATGCGGGTGCATCCTCTAGCTCTTGCAGACTTCACACATGCGCTGGGGCTTCTTGAAAGTCGCGAAGACCACAAGGCGGGCTTGAATCAACTTCTTGCGCTTCGGTATCTGCGCGGAGAAAGCGCGCTACGACTCGAGCACTATCAAGATACCGTTGACGACTGCAGCGCAGCTATTGCTGGAGGTTATACGGCCGATATGGCAGCCCAGAATGCTCGGGGCATGGCATTTCGCGGGCTTGGTGACTACGATAGCGCTCTCCAGGACCTCAACGTAAGTGCAGGTTCCTTTCAACCAAAATTCTATGCTGATCTCTTGTTGCAGGCTTGTGTGGCCCAAGCACCGAAAAACGACATTTTCCGCTTCCACCGTGCTCTTTGTCTGATGGAATGCTCTCGTTACTCGGAGGCTCTGCCGGATCTCCATGAGACTGCTACTCGCAACTCCACGGACACAAAGTATGGTGGTGGCGCTTGCGTTGCTTGTTACTGTCCCCCTCGAGCTCACCAAGTCCATTTTTTTGCCTTCAGACTACTATATTACATGGGTCTGTGCTACTATCATGAGCGCCAGCTCACTGAATGCGTAAGCTTCTTGAAGCGCGCTCTGGTATGCAAACCTGCACAAGACTTGCTTCCTCATCTGTACGTCCTGACATGTAATGCTGCTTGACTTCATTTGTCGCCTCTGATTCGCGTGGTGTGGACAGGTATTATCACATGGGGCTTTCGTACGCGCTGGAAGGCGAGAACATGGACGCTGTTGAACACTTTACGAGTGCTTACGATCACTCTCTGATCGTGGAAAACAACGTTAAAGCAGGAAACAACCAGGAGGACATCGACGAAGCAGGAGGCAAGCAGAGCCAACTCCAACAACTTCACGAAGCACAGCTCATGTACATTCATGAACGTGCCAAAGCCTTGCAACTGGAGCGATACCACGCCGAAGCCCTCGCAGACTTCTCCTTTGTCATCGCGCAGCAACCAACCAATGCCCACGCGTACTTCCGTCGTGGCTTCGCCCACAAAGCACTTGGCGATTTCAAAGCTGCCGCCCACGACCTCCAAACAGCTCGGCTACTCGACCCGAACAACCTACAACTCGTCGTCAACTACAAGGAGCTCCGAGATGTCGAGTGCATTGTACTTTGTCCTCCAGGCGATGAGAAGCGCTTCTAAGTGAAACGTTAACCGTAATTAGGTAGTGAATTCGAAACTGGCAAGGTGTCCGAATCGTCGCGTATCCATTGCAGATCGCCCGTTCATTGTTCAGCAAGTCTCGAAGAGCTACACGTTCACGAAGAAACGATCAGACAAGAGGCGCAGTACTCACCCGGACAGAAATGGGTAGCGTTTGCTCGTGTTGTAGCTGGGGTCGCGAAAACTTAAACTCCAAAGATGCCAAAGCGAAGAAGCTGGGCAAGAAAGACGTGTGGTTCGAGCAAGATTCCGTGCCGCTGGTGTCTGCGATGCACGGCCTCGACGACGTTGGGCCGGACGAAGCTGATGGAAGCCTGAAAAGGAAAGTGCTGATGCGCTCCCCGCGTCCTACAAACATGTCACCTAGTGACGAGCGTTCCAGGTTAACATCGCATCACCTGCAACAACAACACGAGCAAGAAGAGAGACAGTATCACACCCATAGAGGCAAGTCAGCATCCGTGGATTCCAGCAGCTACGCCCAGAGGAGGCCACATAGTGGTGAAGGCGAAGAACGCCCACGGAGCCGCAGTGGGGCTGGACATCGCCACCGCCACTCACGCCATCACGATGGCACCAATGAACACGACAGAAGAACTGCCAGGTCGACATCACTCGATGTACAGGATAGCACGCGTGAGATGCGTTCTCCGTCGTCGTCGTCAATGAGATCGCCTCGAGCACCCTCATACTCTCAGGACGCTGCATCTTTCGCCGATGATGAAGTTGAAAGTGTAGACTCGTCTCGCGGTTCAGCCCGATCGCACCGTTCATCGTCCGCTTCATCATCACCAAAAGCATCCTCCAAAAGTGGATCTCCGCACAAGAAACAACGCTACGGACGGAAACACTATCGAGCGGACGTCAAACGTAAGTAGACCTCCCCATTCATAACCAGCACACGCTAACAAGACACACAAAGACACACAAACCGTCTGCCCATTTTCACTCGTTCTTCGCTTTCATTCCGTTCTCTTCCTCGCTTCTGTGTCCAAAACGCACCTCACACCGGGCAACTCCACAACTACTTACATGCATGACATGGACTGGCCAACGATTCACTCATTTGCGAGTACGGGGAGCTGCCAACTTCGACTGCTTCATGCGTTGTCTTCGAGGAAAGATGGCGCCAAGCCGACCTGCTCGTTGTATCCGCTCATTTCGGCATGGAATTGATGTACTGGAGCAGCCGCTGTTCTGAGATACTTCCGTCTAGACCAGGAATGCCTCCGCCTTCACTAGCAACGAACTTGAAAATAGGCTCCTCGCACTCGAATCCACCGAGGTTGTACGGGGCCTCCGCAGGGGTGTAGATGACACCGTCGACCTCGTGCGTGACGCTCTTGGCGAACTTTGTCAGCATGTACTCAGTCTTTGCCAGACGGAAGTGGTCTTTCATACGCACGCGGAAAGGTTCTTTCGCGTAGTCGAACGATTTATCCTGTATAAAATCCATATTGAACAATATTAACAACCGGATGTCCTCTCTGAAATGCATTTTGTACGTCAAATCGTACATTTTTGCGCGGCACGATGATCTCGTTCTGTAAGCATTGCAGCCGCTTTTCTAGCTTCTTCTGCCATATCGGTGTTCCCTCCAAGAAGAGGATGTCGAATGCGAGGTATCGGGCCACTTTCGTGTCATGGTCTTGGTCCTCTACGATAAGCCCGTCAATCAGCGTGTTCGCCTGAAACTCCTTCTGAATTGCACATCGAGAGATAGCACCAAGTAAAGTCAAAATCTGACCACTAGACAATAGTTGAGCCTTTATAGGTACGTACCGGCGCCCTCCGCCGCGGGAACTTCATCTCAGCCTTAGTGAAGGTCATGTCCCGAGACACAACGTACGTTCCATCGGCAGCGACATAGAGAAGACAACGGCGACTGTAATAAACCGCAATAAAAACACGTAATTCGAAAGTTGAGCAAAAAACACTCGACCGCACAGCACGACGCACCCTCGTGCTCGCCACGTAACAAGGTAAGCCTTGGTCAAGCCGCCCTTGCGCTTGTATGCTCCTTCCGCGACGTGTGTCGCTGTAAAAGGAATAGTCTAATGCATCCAGAGCACAAGTGTGAGTATCCTTCCAAAAGCGTGTGAGCTGTTTAGTATACTACTGCTTACCTCGCATCCAGGGAAGCCCTCAATACCCGTAAGCTTCTCCAGCGACTTTGTCAGCTTCTGGTGCTCTTCCGAAGAGGTCGCAAGCGTCTCGCCGTAGGTTAAAGGGTCCACCTCATCTATCCACGACCGGATCTTACGACGTTTTGCTGGGCGTGGGTCCTGGCGGTCTGGGGGTATGTACATCGGGGCTTTGTACACTGGCGCCGTTGGGAAGCCGCTAGGCGTGGTAGCTTTTCCGTTGTTGACCGGAGAAGCCTTGGCGGGCTCGACACCTGACATCGCCACCTTCTCTTTCCGCACAAACTTGTTCGCTCGATCCTGTTCCGTCACAACCTCATTGCCAACTGCTGATGCGCTCTTACGTTTACGATTTTCGTCGTTTTCCCATCGCGGAGCAGCAGGAACTGAGAGCTGTGTCGACTCGGACGGCAGTGTACTGTAGTATTTGCGGTACAATCGCTAAAAGGAGCCAAAAAAAATACATTAACGCTAGTTAGAAATATGCAATGTTACAGCAGTAAGAACTACACTTCATACCTCCAGATAATGTCTCGAGTAGATTCCAGGCGCAGTCGATTGGGCAAACTCCTCCACCGCAGCGTCCAAATTCAATCCACAGTGTTCCACCAAGTAGCTGCAATCGTCCCGCACAACAATCAGATCCCCTTCCTAATATCTTCCAACATTATCGCCACGCACCTGACAATAAGGAACCCTACGAAGTTGTAGCCCTCTGCTCCGTAAACAGCCACGTCCATGTCCTTTCGTTCTCCTTTGAGGTGTTTAACCACTGCCTTGTAAAAAGCCTCGACCATCTTATCGTCATGAGCATCACGATCCTTCTCCTCGTCGTCTGTAATACGCAGCAGCAGCATCTCATAAGTTTCAACCTCACACATACAGCATCGAAACCACCTCAAATTGCGCACCTTCGGGCGAGTCAACGCGCAGCTTGACGTACTGGACGTCCCAGTCATCCCACTCCCTAATACAGAACTGTACAGTCAGAAATCCGGCCTCATGTCTTAAAATCCAGCACGATCGACATACTTGACGTCGTGAAGAAAGGTGTCACTGCCCGTAGCATCAATAACAAGCCCCACGTTCACCACGGAGCCTGAGCGTGTGTCTGCAATGAGCTTCTCCATGAGAGCGGAAGGTGCATAGCTCTTCCTGGCCGAGAAATGGATCTCGTAGCTGCAAGACAAGGTGTTAGTAGGCACTTAATTTTACGGATACAAGCAACTGCCACGTACATGGAGGAGAGAGGCGCGCGAATGGGCAAGATTGGCGCACTCTTCACGCGCGTCGTGTACTGCGGCATCCGCTCGAACTGCTGCCAACGCGCAGCGTCCCAACGGAGCAACTTGCGGCCTCCACCATTGCTCTGCTGTTGTTGGGCGGCTCGCAGCTTTGCCGCTACCTCAGCGCGGGTTGCATCGTCGCTCATGCTGCGTAAATTGAGGAGTGATGGTCGGGTTGCTTCTTCCACCTTGGCGCGCAAAATCGCTCAGAGCCGGAATGAGTAAAACCTCGGCTACTTCAAATTAAGGATAAAACCTCAATTCAGAGGTACAGGTCAAGGGGGCAACTTGTACTGATTTGTGAGGTGGATAAGATATTGCAGGAAGAAATGCTTTTAAAGTAGTCACTCCCACGGGTAAGGTTACTACGAGCCGCAGGTGTGACCAGCATGCAGAGGGTGTTAAGTGCGTGGCGCAAGACGCGTAGGGCGTCCGCTAAAGAGGGTCACGAGGTGCCTTGTGTGTCGTGTAAAGCTGCTGTATCTTATATGAATTATTGACGCTAGATTTGGGCCTTGGCTGCGAAAACAGGAGTTGCAAGATGTTTTGACGAAGCTGCGCAAGCTCGGTCGGCGTGCAACGCTAGAGGAGGTGTGCTGCAAGCTGCAAGCTGAAACGATATATTTTGCCGTGCGACTAACGCTGGGTGCTCTTGATTTAGTTCAAGGAGTCGCCGCTGGTGGCCAAACTAAACTCCCCCATTCAGTTTCATGGATTGGGCAACATGATCTACAACAACTCGAACGAAAACGATGAGGAGGTGCAGAAGGCGCTACACGTGTGGAAGATCGCTATGGACAAGGTAAGCGCGAAGTTAATGCAGTATTTCGCTATAGTGTATTTTAATGGGTTGCGTGTAGGGAAGTGAGAAGGCCAAGTTTAGCTATGCCTTGTGCTTGAAAAAAGGCATCGGTAAGGCATGCTAGGCAAAGACCGCAATACCGTACGCTTGAAAATAACAAATTCATCACTGTAGGCTTTCCGAAGAAGGATGCGGCGAGTGCTACCAAGTATTTTAAGGAGGTAAAGAAGATTAACTTAACGTACGCTGTTTCTAGCTTACAGACTTAACCTCTTTTTTTTCAGTTAGCCTCATCTGGACATGGATGGGGGTCATTCGCTTATGCCGACGCCTTGAACAATGGTGAAGGCACACGCAAGAACGTGGAAAAGATATTCGAGCTGTACAAGAAATGCGCTGAAGCAGGCATCCCTCCGGCTTTCATAAATGTTTCCAACATGTACACTTCAGGTACGGGAACGAATAAGGTATGCATGAGTCGTGCACTAGAAGTTTCGATTGAACTTTGCACAAGTAACTGATATCGTGTTGCAGAACGAACAAGAGGCATTAAAGTGGCTCATCAAAGCTGCTGAGGCCGGTGATCCGACTGCTAAATCCCGGTTGGGTGAGTACTACTCACATGGTAAGGGTGGCGTGCAGAAGAACCAGGCTCGCGCTGTCCAGTACTACAAGGAAGCCGCGAGTGCTGGCATCATTTTGGCGCAGTTCAACCTTGGTTATCTCTTCCTTACTGGAGACGGAGTGCCGCACGACCCATTGCAAGCTGAGGCTCTCTTTCGTAAGGCTGCTGAGAAAAATTTCGTGATGGCCATGGTCAACCTTGCCCAGATGTATCGCACCGGGTACGGCGAGGTGCCAAAGGACCTGGAAACAGCGCGCAAGTGGCTAGAATTGGCTTCTCCGCACGATCCGAATGCTAAGGAGCTGCTGAAGGCGATGACGGAGTCAAAAGATGCTAAGCAGGAAATTGCCGCCAACAATTGATGCAGCGCTACGGTTTTGATTAAATTTCTTACTTCTTCTATCTACCACATAGTAGTTCAATTGTCTACAGACTGAAGACGGACACGAATGCCTGGATCGTGCACACAGTGCACACTATGGAGCTGATCGCAAGGATGATCCAGGCCGTGAGTTTGCGGCGGTCTGTGTTAGGCTTCTCACGTCGGATGCACACGTAGGACACGCATGGTAAGACGTACGAGATCAGGAGCCCAACAGTGGAGCCCATGAGATTCCAAACAACATCCACGCCTGGCGAAAGGAGCGCGATCGTGATGACACCGGTCATGATACCGACGGTGAGTAACACGTGCACAATGGTTGACTGGTACCTCCCCCGTGCGTTAGCACTAGAAGCTACGTTACCATTGGACGGCAAGAGTGCGGTGCCCTCGCTCATAGTCTCTCCTTCGTTCTCTGAATCACTCGAATCGGGTGCATCGTACACTTTGGCACGTGTACGCATGTAGCTGCGAACGATCTTAGCAAGACGAAGCAGGTTGGCGCGACAGGGCTGGATGATGAGCGGCAAGCTCAGTTGAATGGTGACAAGTAGTCCCAGTCGTCCGAGGTTCACAAGCGGATCGTTGTCACTGAAGTTATTCAGGATATCGCCTTGAACGCCACCATGTTGTTGGAAGGCGAACAGGTATCCCATGACACCGACCAAAATGTAGAATAGCCACGTGGAGAACATCGTAGACGCCACGATCTTCTTTAGACGGTGACGCGTGGGCTTGTGCAGCTCACGATACACTGGCAACACATTAAAGTGGCAGAGGAACGACACTGAGATGATGGGGAACGCATACACGGCATCTGCCCAGCTGTCGGGTGTCAGCTTGATGGGGATCTGTGATTCTTCCTGGGCGTCAAGACGGCTGAACGTAGCGTCTGCTGCTCGGACCGTGATAGCAATTGCCAGCACCAGCACGGACACGAGACTGAAGATGGAGGTAAAGCGCAACGCGTCCATGGAGCGCGCTAGGAGCGCCGGCGACACGAGCAGCACGCAGATGATTGTCATAACGTTCTGCTCCGCCTCAGAAAGCGGTCGATTGTAGAGGAAACTCGCACCAAGTGAGCCCACTAGGTCTTTGGTGAGAATGACGTATGCCACAAGCGTAAGGAGCGTGAGCACCACGAGTAACACAACGGTGATGCGACCAGCCCGTGCGCCCAACGCCTTGCGCACCACTTCTTCGTATGAGGCCGCGCTACCGCGACGACTGCAGCTCACAATGACGTAGAGGCTGAAAGTAGAGGCGGAGGCAGCAATGACCATGAAGATAAGCGCGACAACGAGACCGCACTTGTCGAAGGCGAAGGGCAGCGACAAAATGCCGCCGCCGATGATCGTGCTCACAAGATTGAAGATAGCAGATGGCGCCGTGGCAGTGCGCGTGGTGGCATGCGGCCCTGGGCTAAAGAACTCGTGGCTACCGCGGTTACGTTCATAGCGGTACACACCCGTGTTGATCATACTACCCTGCGAAGACGGCGGAGCGGACATCTCAATCTCGCGAAGAGGCGGCGGAATGATGAATGAACTGATTCTACGTACGTGCAAATGGATGTTTGGCCAATCAGCGGCAGATTTTTAGATTGTACTTCGTATGAAGAGAAAAAATAGTAAAGCTATTAATAGTAGCCTAACCATCATGGTGGAACACACCTAAAGAAAATGTGATAATGAGGCGCCTCGACGGCTCGTTTTGAGGAAGCGATTGCAAAGCGAGCATGTAGACCCGTCTACTAGTGATGAGGAAGACACAGGAGGTTCGGCAGTTCGTAGACGGCGTGGTGGAGGATTGTTTGCTACGAGACGTGGTGGCACTGCAGAGAACGAGTATGCTCTCGAGAAGGTGTGGGCTAAGCGCTGAATTAATGAGGCTACATTCTATCTGGTGCAGTGGGAAGAATTCCATGAACTGACCTGGGAACCTGTAGCCAACATTCCGTGGCTAGCGGTTCGTGGCTTTTCGTCAACATGGCTACAGTTGCTTCAACTTGTTAGCTCCTATGGCGATTGACCTTGCTTTGCAGTTGGAATTGCGCCTTGAAAGGCTCTTCACGGGGCTCCCACGGGCCTGTGGCGAAGAGTGTGAAAGAGCGTCCCGCTGCAATGGAGACGATAGGCCCCACGCCGTATCCTCGAAAGCTTCCACGGTCTACCACCCCAGGTTCGGCAAAATCTGTATCGCCGATTTCGGACCCTTTGCGGCCTAGACAACCTGAAGCGTTTTGGCCCCACGTATACAGGTTTCCGTCGACAGCTAAGGCACAGCTGTGGTGAGAAGATGTCGTGATGGTGTGGCAGCGAATGTGGCGGTGCCGTAGTGTTGGAAGGCAGGCTATAATGGATACGAGTGAGCCTTTATTGCATTCGGATCAAAGCAAAATGAAGCAGCCTACTTGGTAGTGCCGCAAACTTCTGGTTGCCCAGGCCGAGCTGCACAAGAGCAAAGAAACCTTTAAACAGAAAGCCCACTTTGCAAGACTGCTGAAAGTGCAGGAGCCAACCTGTCCTTGAAGGCCGCTCCCAAATGCGTACACAAATCCACCCCTGCTGTCATTGTTACTCGTTGCGGAGACTCCGAAAGCTCTTCGATGAGCCTCCATAGGGAATATTTCCTCTTGTTCATGTGCAATGCATAGTGTGTGCCAGCTGCCGCAGCTTACGTCCAACACAACGTGATTCTCAAGAGCGCTTACTAGTTGTGGATGGCAAGAGTCGTCGTTGCTGCCGAGTCCAAGACGGCCACCGTCACCGCAGCCAAAGGTGAAGAGCTGGCCTTCAGCGGATACAACTGCAGTATGCACGGCTCCACAGGAGACTCGCCTGATCCATTTACTATGCAATGCTTCTACTATTGTCGGAGTCGGAAAGCACAGCTGCAAGTGCTTATCTTTCACTCCAGCGCGTCTAGATTCTCCCAAGCCAAGTTGACCACTCCAACAGCTTCCCCAAGTGTACAACCTTCCTTTGTCGGTGATCGCCGCAGTGTGGGTGTTGCCTACACTGACCGTAACAATGTGCGTACTATGCAGCACTGCTACGTGGACTGGTTCCTCAGTTACAGCCTTGCCGCCATATTCGCAAGTATTAGTCCCCAACTCGCCATACTTGCCTCTGCCCCACGTAAAGCATTCACCCTTCTCACTGGTCATAGCAACGTGTCCAGCAGTCCGACCACATGCGATGTGTATGAGGTGCCTACTCGACAGACTCGAGATTAACCTTGGAGATAAAAAGATTGCACCACCTGCACCACGCGCACTGTCGTTTTTGCTCTGATCCTCTTTCCGCTTCTGTATCTTTGGTAGATTCGTCTTCGCAGTGGCCTCATCAAAAATGGCACGTCCACCACCGCCCCATGCAAACACTTGTTCTTCTTTGGTACGGGCAAACGCAAAGTTTGCGTCAAAGCCCTTCAATACGCATGCAAATACACAGCGTGAGCACACTACGATTTTGGTAATTTAAATTTCTCTACATAAGCTATAAAGCCTACCGAGTATACGTTAGTGACGTGTGCTCCACGAAAGGTTTCAATCTCCGTAGGGATATCACAGGCACGGCGGTGACCCAATCCAAGCTCTCCATTGTTATTGGACCCAAAAGCAAATACACGTCCAGAAGCTTTGATAGAACAGCAAGCGTCGTTAAGGGATGCAACCACAAAGCATACCAAATTTGGACTAACCTAGAATTGCGTCCTGTTTAAGCTCAAGCAAACGCTGTTCTTCGAGACGAGCAACAATTTCAGGCTCATACACCCAGTCTTGGATTCGAGTGACCAACTCCAATTTCTTGCCGTCAGTGGGTAGATCTAAGAGCGCGCATGCTGCGTCTAACTCGTCCTTGCGCCACCCAAACACGTCAGCTTCTCGCCAGAAATCCCGCGTCTTCGGTAAGCTTCGGATCGCCACGCCCTGCACAAAAAATGTAAGCCAAAGGTATACTTGACTCCATACTACACACCTCGTACGAAGGCAATTGCTCGCGGCTCCAGATGCGCTCGCGCTCCTGTGGGTCAGAGAGTCGAGCGATCCGAGCCTTCCGTCGAACACTTTCTCTTTTGTTCTCTTCGTTCCGTCCCAGTTCGTCCTTCTCTAGTCTCATTTGAGCGTGCAGATCATCTTGCAACGCGTCCAGTAGCTTCATCGCACGCTGCTCGCGTATCCGCTCCATAATTCTTGTTGTGTCTTTTCGTACATTTGTTTCCATGGTGTGGTGCACGCAAATACCAATGAACTCGCTTGGTCTCGAGTATGGCTCATCATCCGACGAAGCCGACGAGCGTGCACGCCCAGTGTCACCGCCTCAGACTCAGGTTGTCGCTGTTGATGCCCCATCAGTTAAAGTTTCAGTAGTAGAACCTACCGCTAAAGCTAATGATGCTCCGGCCAAGCCAATCGAAGAACCTGTCGAATCCAATAAAGCAGTAGACTCCGCTGCGATCACTGGACCGGATATGTCAATGGACGACGAGGATCTGGAGGCGATGCTCTTGCGTGCTGGCATCCCGCCGGCAACTGCTCCGCTAGCTGATGATAATGAGACGCAGCAACGTATCGAGAAGTTCTTGCGGGTGCAGCGTGAAAGAGGGCAGGATTTCCAGACAACGTTGCAGGACAAAAAGGAAGTGCGAAACCCCTATATCCTCGAGAAGGTGGTCGAATACTTTGGTATCGACGAGCTGCAGTCTAACTTCCCTCCTGATGTATTCAACCCCCATGGCTTACCACTGCACGAGTTTGCTGATGTGTTGGCTTTGGAACAGAAGAAGCGCGCAGACGCTCGAGCGCAACGCCAACTCCAGCAGCAACGGGGCGGCGCCGATCCTCGCCAGATTCATTTTGTATTTTCCAACTCATTCAGCAAGCCATGATAAGTTTTTCTACCGGTTAAATAACTAGACAGTTGCCACGGCTGCAGCTTTATTTCGCTCGATTTGACCGCGGCCTTTGCCAAGACCTCTACTACGTCCGTGAACTGCTGCGTCTTGAAGTTTTAAAAGATCTTCCTGGCGAGTCATCAGCTCTTGTTTCATGCCTGCGATTCTGCTTTCTGAAGCGCTCAGCGTCGCATCCATTCGCGCTAGTTGCTCGTCCGCTGCTTTTTTCGCTCCTCCCCACTTTGCAGTCTTTCCTCGATCACGGGCAAACACGTAGCGCTGGGTCTCAAGATCTGCAAGTGCTTGACGACAGTGTAACAACTCACGTTTCAGATTTTCGCATGCTGTCGTCTCCTTTCGGAAATCAAGTTTGAGCTGCTCGGCATTGCTGCAATGCATGCAAGGCAGAGGTAATGTGTGCGCCTGGCATCTTGAAGCCAGTGCCGTCGTGTCAATAACGTGGAGATCTAACGGGTGTGCATAGCGACATCGCCCTAGTTTTTGAACGTTAATGCAGATTCCGCGTTGCCTGAACGAAGGGCAAATCGGTCGCTCAGGTGCAGCTGGTGATAAAGTATCAGGCTGATCTGGATTGCTACTTTTCACTGTGGTGATGGTACTTTTCTTCTGTCCGTTGTTCGGGTAAAGCGCTCGTGTCTGATCGATCCTGGAAAATAGTTTCTCTAGTGGAATATGAGAACATGGAGGAAGTAGGGTGCACTTGGGGCAGCGACGAAGTGGTTTGCTCATCTGGATAATTGAAAGGGGAAATGGCGGTACGGCAGGTGAACTCATGCTAAATGTCGGCTGGCAAACTTTCATCACGTTGGCTTGGCTGATGAAGTATTGTTTGAGGAAAACTTCGTGTAGTTTCTCCATAGAGGGTACCAACTTAAACGAGCAAATTTTTGCAAGCGCTTCAAGCCCTTCTCGTGTGTATCCAATCTAAAACAATAATCTCCAAGTGAGCACCAGAACGATGAAAAAGACAAAAAAATGGCATGCGTCTTACCCGTTCTTGTTTGCATATTAGCAGCAGTTTCGTTCGGACGAGATCAGCTGACAAAGGACGCAAAGGCACAGTCATGGATTGAGTCCTTATTTGCTCGGCAAGCTTGTTTGCATCGGGACGCACAAGCAGAATCACAAAAACTCTTTTCAGATTCGCTTCTGCAAGCAGAGGAAGAAAGAAATGCTGCTGCGTGCTAGGAGTAACACTATGGAAGAGGTAGCAGTAAATCATAAGCTGGTTCATCAAGCAAGCCATAGAAACCAGGACTAATGTAAGCACCTACCTTTCGAATCGTTCAATGATTAGAAATGATGGAGCACCAGCTTTCGAGGCATCAAGGCGCTTGACTGCGTCTTCTAGTTTGCTCTGTAGCACTTTATCGCTGCAGTAGAAACATCACACAAACAATGTTTAGCGTAGATCGACATAGAAAGGAGGAAATCTTACGCAAAGACGCTAGCGTTGAGCGAGAAGAAGCGGCACGGTTGCTCAAATGTCGCTGTCTGAAGCGTTTTACGAAGGATACCAGTAAATGAGGCCTTACCAGTGGAATGTCCTCCCTAAGTAGTATAAGGATAAAGCCTCAACTAGCTTTGATAAGAGTGCGAAGACAACCTTACGCTGATAAGGAAGTTGGTGAGCGCGGGTGCAGTGTCGGTGTCTATTCTACTAATGACTGCACGAATGCAAGCAACTGCCGCTGGATTGTCCAAGAATCTCTCAATGTCGCCGGGTACTAGACGCTTCTTCCTATGGATCAAGTCAGATGCTGTTACATTGATCTATAACACGTGGAGCATTGCAAACTCGTTACACAACCATTCCGATGCGGAGTCAAACGGCAAACTCGGGCAGCGCGGCTTCGATGGAGGCGAAAACGAGTGATAGAGTGCGTCGAGCTTCGTCCAGAACCCGAATGAGACTCGCCAGTTCGGCTTCTCCGGCTTCGGCTGCTGCTGTGTTCCCGGCCTCGAGCTGCTGCTGACAGTGGACATCCTGGTCGGAGCAAAGCCAAAAGCCCAAGTTGAAGTTGCCACTCGAAACCTCTCATTTTACATACATACAAGCGTCAATATTTTTCAACGGCCGATGAAAAGGCGTGATGCGATTTGAGAGTTTAAGGTTGCTTATTTTTGCTCAGATCCAACTAAGGTCTCCTCACACGTAAAGATTCAGAAGTGCCCGCCAACATGAGCCTCTTGCCCACTTCCCGCGTGCTTACCAAGCGCGCCGGTGCCTTCATGGCGCCTTTAGCCAGTCGCAACATTTACACGAAGGGCCTGGCCAAGGACATGATGAGCAAATCTTGTTACAATGGCGTTAACTTCATCATTCCCGAGAAGGCGACTGTGTTCGAGGCGCTGAAGCGCATGGCAGGCATTAATTTGGGCTGCCTCGCCGTCAGCAGCGACGATGACAAGTTCGTAGGAATTCTCACGGAGCGAGATTACCTGAAGAAGGTGGAGCTTCAAGGACTCACGGCTAAGGACACACTTGTGAAACAGATCATGACGAACCGTGCACGTCTGACCGTCGCGAAGGAGAACGAGACTCCCAGTCAGCTTATGACCAAGATGCTCTCCAGTGTACGTTTGCTGCAAGTAGTGTGTACTTAAGTGTTGACTCGGATGTATACAATTTTACTTACCTTTTTCAGGATGTTCGCCACCTTCCCGTGGTGAATGACGATGGCAACCTGATCGGCATGCTGTCCATCAAGGACATTGTGCGCGAGATCAACCGCGAGCATGACGCCGATATGGATACGCTCAGTAATTTCGCCATGGGCCACGGCGGTCACTTCGTGCTGGACTAAAATAAAGCCAACACCGACTGCTGCCGAGGAATGAGTTATCCACACACACCTCACTTGATTTACCGGAAGCTGCTGTGCTCATCTCTTTGCTCCTAGCGAACCGAACTCGAGCAATGCTGCGCATTTATCCCGTTTGCATGAGCTGCTGGGCTAGTTAAATCACGAATGCGAGCAGTACAGTTGACCTTGTTTGTGGTGACCTTGTACTTCCGCTCTACTGTAGGTCCTCCAGTCACAGTATAGTACACCATCGAGCTCTCTATTGCGTCGCGACTTTTCACTCGGAACCGGTCGTCCACAAGTACGGTCTGGCTGCTGACTCATCGTCTGCAACTTTTCCTCGGATGATGCATGTGCGCCACCCACCAGCAACGTCGGCGGCATCTTCCTTGGACCAGGGCTCATGCTGCTGAAATGCAAAACACCCCTCGGACTCCGAGCCGGGGTGCGACTACCAACAGCTTGAGCCGGCGCGTTCAACTCCATTACAGCCGCAGCGAACACCAGCGTCGCCTTGGACTTCAGGTAAGGTGGTACCCATGTCGACTCACCTTACTGACTCGTTTCTGTTCAGTTTGAAGCGAGTAGCCAATCAGAAACTCTGTCAGTCATGCTACCACTCTCCGCACGGACACTGCGAGGCTGTCCAAGGTCACTCACTGTACAGTACGCCAACTCCATCAAAAGCCCGAGTCAAGCCCGCCTTCCTCGAGCCGCCCGCTACTACACCGCCCGCTTCGTCGGCATGAGCGAGCGCCATGACGCGGGGCCCGATGCGTTGCTCTCGGACGCGCAGGAAGCGCGGCTGCAGATTGTCGGGTACTTGTCTAGCGCGCTGTCGCTCTCTGGGACGCTCTACGTGCTCGCGCACTTCGGTTACCTGCAATGGTGCAAACCGCGACGACTCGAGACCTTCACTCTGCAGCAGCTGCCTGTCCAGTTCCAGCGGCGTCCGCGCAGCCGCGTGGACTTCATGGACAAACTCGTGCTTGTACTGGCGCTCTTCGATCTCGTTACTATTGCAGCACGTGCCGTCGGGCGCAGTGTCGTGCATAACTACGCTCTCTGTCGAGCTCAAGCGGCCATCACACAGGCGGGAAACCTTGCCAGTTGCATCTGGATCTGCTGTATGGCCTTCAATCTCTACCGCTGGATCGCAGGAGGCGAGTCGGACGCCACACGACAAAGAAGATTTCCTTTATTCTTGGCTGTCGCAGTGGTTCCAGGAGCAGGCTTCGTCGTCTTCCACCTCATGAGTATGATAAAGGAGAGCAGATTTTCTAAAACGTGTACTTACGGGTTGTGCCGTGTTGTCCAATGGTAGCAAACAAATACGGCGACGCGACGTTCTACTGCTGGTTTGACGAGATCCGCTACATGTTTCTCAACTTCTATCTCTTCTATCTACTCATGATTGTATTCAACTTCGTGCTACTTGCGCTTATCCACTTTAACATGAAGCAGCGAGTGGCAAGGTGCGGTGTAGTATTCACGGTACCCACTAACCCCTGTATTAACTCTTATTGACGATAATTATGCCAGCAGACATGATACAGTGGAGGCCGATACGTCGTCCATGCTGATTCGTCGCAAGTTGCTGCTCTACATTCTCGTTTTTATTGCTCATCGCACGCCAATGATGATCTACCGCAGTAAGTTCGTCTTGTTCGTCATTGCTGCTTAGAAAGTGGAGAGTTGTAATGTTGTACTGTATTCAAAGTCTTTGAGGCTGGTGGCATGGACAACTTAAGTGTAGGCCTCGTCATGCAGGTGATCCAAGATCTAAACGGGTTTTCTAACTCGATCGTTTACGGTGGGATTTGTCGAAGACGTACCAAGGAGGTACCACCGCCGCGCGAGTGTGAGGCCGAGAGCGTTTCGTCGCCAACTGAAAGCATTATGGGTGGCTACGCTGTCAAGAAGCGTCCTACCGTCACAGAGGACGAGCACGACTCCATAGCCCGTCCGTCTGCGAGGATCGGAACTGCCTTGACGCAAGCAGGTCGTAAGATTTCGTGTGAGTCGGACAGTGGAGAGTCCAGTGTGGATAAGTGTGTTCATCCTCGCAAAGCCCAGGAAGATCACAACTACAGCTGTCGCACCTGGCACCAACGACTGCAAAAGCGCTTCTCGTTGCACTATCCAACTCAATCGTCTGCCCCAGTAGAGCCCAAGAAAATTGCCATCTTTGCGTCCACCTTCAACATGGGCGAGAAAGATGTCAATGAAAGTGAACTGGTAACACTGAACTCTGTAATAATTGTAGGCGGTGTCATCTCAACTAATTGCTTACTGAACATGTGGTGTATCTGCAGCGTGAGTGGATTCCATTAGGACAAGATGTTTATGTGATCGGTGCTCAAGAGTGCATGGATCTAGCAGACTTACAGATCAAGATCTTACGTCATCTTGTCTCAGGGTCTACTAGCAAGTACGTGCACTACTCGCGCGAGATCGGCAAGCGAGCTACCGCGTTGGGTTATCATGGCTACATTGCGCTCTGCATTTTTGTACGAGCGACAGCTGTAGCGTCAGGCCGCTTCCGTATGCCTCATAGACAGAGCAGCAACAAGAACGCTCAAGAAGTATTTCGCGGCAAGTCCTTGCTCCTGTTTGGCCGCGCATCCAACAAAGGAGCTGTTGGCATGTCGTTCCGCTTCGACGATACGTCGTTTGCGTTCGTAACATGCCACTTGGCATCCGATTCCTCAAGTTTAAAACGAGCCAAGCGCAAGAAAAGCTCCAACGCAATCTTGAAATGTGGCGACAGTTCCGGAGACTTCAGCTACAGCGGAAAATCGCGGAGAAGTGGCGGAGACAGCGGTGGCAGCAAAACTTCAGTATTTGATGGACTGACAATAGAGGCACATCAGCCGCCGTCGAAAGTGGAGCGACGCAACCGAGACGCGATGGAAATCCTGCAGCAGCTGTACTTGGACGAAGAGGACTATGGCTTTGGGTTTCCGCATCTACACCACCACAGTTTTATTCTGGGAGATCTCAACTATCGCATGACACGCAAAGCAACGACACCGATGGACATGCTCGACCTCCTTGTGAATGCCGGGACGGAGCATCATCATCCGTCCGAAGATGTTTACACCATGGTATTGTCGTCACCATCTTCTCCAGCGATCCTTCAAACATCGGATGAAGGAGACTTTCGACAATGTATAACGCCCAAAGAGCAGAGTCCAACACCAGTCGTGACAGCACGAAGAAACCACCGGTACGCCAGGGGACGTGCACGTACATCAATAAGCAATAGCGGCAGTAGTTCGGCACCGTTCCTACTACGAACACTGGTCGAAGAACACGACGAACTGTACCAGTTGTGCCGCTCTCAACAGCTTTTCCACGGCTTTCAGGAAAGCGAGATCACTTTCTTCCCAACGTTTCGCCGTATTCGAGGACAAGCTCTGCGAGACCCACTTGATGCGATCTCCTTTCAGCAGAATTACTCACTTGTAGCCACTCACGGTGGCTACCGCGTACCATCCTACACAGATCGTATACTTTACAGCTCGCTAGCTGGAATGAGGGACTCACTGCGCTGCTTATCTTACGATTCTTGTGAGGCTGTGACCTCGTCGGACCACAAGCCAGTATCAGCCTGCTTCGAGGTGGCGTTGTTGACTTCACCTCAGAAAGCTTCTCCAGCAGCCCTATTAGCAGAGGACTCTCAATGGAACGCGAACTCGACAGACGCCAACCCAATGATCCTTCGCACTGATCGTACTCTGTCATCTGCACGGATGAAAGACGTCCCTGGTGCGTGCGAACTCCGTATACGGATCGAATTTCGCTCTATTCATTGGATCGATGCACTCGACTCGGCGCTATTCGATCGTGCTGAGCACGTGGAATTTGGCTTTCTGTTCCCACTGCCATGTGAAGATGTATTTGCGCATCAACGTAAACTGCATGAAGTAGCAGAGCACTTGACGTTTGGCGGGACTGATAGCGGCAACTCGGGTGGCATGGGGTTTGCCTCGACCATGACGCCCACCTCCAATTTCCACACCCTAAAGTGGCACGAGTTCGTTAATGGTGGTCTACGATACCACACCATGGCAGGTGCATTAGGTCGCAAGCACGTCGCTGTGGTGCTTCGCTCATTACGTCGAGGACGCACATTGTCCAAGACGTCGTCCGCTTCACGGTTACTTGGCGGTAGCTGCTCGTTGTCTCCGCACACGAGCAATAACTCGATCGCCTCCACGTGCTCCCCGACACCACACAACAGCTCGGTAGGTTCGTCCTCTTCCTTCTCTTCAGAAAAGTTTTTTGGCCATGGCACGTTTTGCGCCGAGGGGATGGCCAAGAAACGTGATGTGTGTGTACCGCTAACACTTGGGGGAAGACTGCTGGGGCGTCTTCAACTGCGGGTTTCGTTGCAAACGCGTCAAAAGAAATGACAGCTGTGTGCGGCGGAAAAATGTCCTAGGTAGCACCGCTCTGCGATGTTTTGTTTGTACAGTATGGAAGTCGAGCATGGAGTTGTATGGATACAGTCTGAACGAGCAGCGACTACGAAATGCAAATTGTTAGCTCATCACCACTTGACAAAGTGACAAAAAGCTATGGATACTACGTACCGGTAGTACATCCATGGACACGTAATCGTGATGACCACCACCAACCGTACCGTACAAGGCGGACCGAGCATAGCAAAACCCGGATAGCAAGCGCAGAGCGCGCAAAATACCCGTCACGTGTTCCTCGAAAGAAGCCACACGAAGCAGTACTTCGTCTCAGGCTTTAGATCTGGTCAATCTCCCCATTGCTGCTTTGCATCGCTTTTTTTAAAGCCATCCTACCCGCAGAATTGCGTAAGCCGTTGAGTTCTGTCTTTCTGAAGCTGTACATGCTCACTATAAACGCCAGAAAAAGTGAGATTCGTCCTTTGTAGTCTGCACGTGCATTAAACACCACACTATTAATAATAAGTCCGTTGGGTTAACACCTGTAACGCTAGGCCGTGCGAAAACTTCGACATTGCTTGACTCGCTCGGGTCCTTGTTTTGCCGGTATTGCCGCTATAAGAATAGTGATACCCTTCGAGGGCCTTGCGGCAAGATATAAGTCTGACGTTGCGTCCGGTTGCGTCCGGTTGCGACCTGGCTAGCAGATGCACAACCTGTTGCAGCACTCCAACGTTGAAGCCCGGTGTATATGCTTGGGTACAGCCTTATCGCTTACAGCCGTAAGAAAGCACTATGGTGGAAGCATCGAAGGCGAAATTACCGCGGGGTCCGTGAACTATTGCACTGTACAATCTCTTACCAAAAGTAGTGCCTCATCATTTGTTTTGACGCGGAGGACCGTTGTGTTTTACCGAGTTTGCTGTCGCGCGGCTGAAGAAAACCTGCTTATGGGTGGACTATATGGATATTATAGAAGCGCATATTCGCGAGCGTTACGGCGAGTGCATAGACACGCTTAGCGTATCCCGGCGCGAGCGACACGCACTTCAATGAGACGCAAGTGTGACTTTCTGTGACATAAAACAAAAAAATACCATAATCCAGTAGACACGGTACCTAAGTACACTGTACATGATCGGAAGTGAACAAAACCTTCAGTATTTGCAACATGCTGCTGAATATTACCCTGTTCATCATGCCTTCCAATTTATTTCAGGTAAAAGGTAAAACCTGCAGCAGTAGTAGTACGGATATCGTCGATAGCTGCGTATGCTTTTTTTCGAGCATGATACTTAACTTTTTAAGCTGTATAAATTTTGCCGTAATAATCGTTTTAGAACCAAGACGTGATTTATGATAGTCAAGATAGAACTATTTGCAACAATATGAAGGCACCTTTGTGGGAATCACGTCAAGCCAGGTAAGTACTGTAATCCCATAATATTGACTCACTGAATTTAAAATAAAAATCCGTGAGCATGATCTTATAATTTGGCCTCATGGAGCTCTCTTAGTGAGAGCTTCGCAGATCACGTGACTGCGTGGCGCTGTACGTATGCTTAGCTCACCGGAGATTTTACCTCGGCAGGTGTTTTCTTTTTTTCCACGTTGCAATACAATGCTCTATCGAGCCAGTGGAGAGGCTGATAGCGGCAACAGCACACTCAATGCGTATTACGGCTGGTGAAGAGCGCGGCGATGGATGCGCAAGTGCTTAAAAAGCGCTATGACTCATGATTCACGACCAACGAAGCAGCCAGGATATGTCAAGTTTGCGTGGTGGACATGCTGTTAAGACATGTTAAGTCATGAAGCAATACTCACTTAATCGGACAAACGTTGGTACGTAAGCTGCAAAACAGTACCAGCGAGGCTGCAGCGCGTGCTTAATGTAAGCATCGGATCAGTCTTCTTTAAATTACACTTTTGTGCAATACAGTGTTTGATACACCTTCAAGTAGAGATTAAGCTCTTGAGATGGACGCGCCCACTCCAAGTGTAAGAACTCCAATTATTAAACGCTTTTGAGAACGTGTGCGACGGCCTGTCAGGTTAAGAACACATTGCCGCTCCTGTGATCAAAACGCGGCGATGATGCGCTGTTACTCTCCTGTATCATTTGCCATATGTGCGGCCAGCTTCAACATTGACGTATTAATTATGGATTTATGCGCGAAAGCAGCCCTTCGCTCGTGTTCTAGCAGTGCTGTACGGTAGACAGCTCGTGTCAGTGATACGGTATCACCACTGGTGATTCACCAGTCGTCATCCGCCTTAGTGTCAGCAGTACCAAATAAATGCGTATATCGATGCTGCGATGCGAAAACACACTTGCGTTTCGTAAGCTGTTACGACCGTACCAACTTGTGTCGTGTCCACAGGGGGGAGCGAAATACAATCTCCACCTCTGACGACCTCAAAAAGAGACCGACACGCTCGCAGCATAGAAAAGAAAAGCACTGCCCGAGCCCCAGCCGAAGTTTAACGCGCTCCTCTTGTCCATTGCGACACGGACAGGCAGCTCCGCCGCTTTGGAGACACAGACGTCACTCTTCAATAAGCAAGATCAATCCGGCGACGGCGCCACGCGCGCTCGACGGCGGCAAGGCGTTGTCTGAGAGGATTGACGTCGGCTGCGAGTCGCACATCCGCAATAACAACTCGGTTGTGAAAAGAACGACGACGACCTGGTCCCCCGACTTCAGCCTACCCTCCATGCCCTTCAGCGACGAGGTCGGAGCACGGAGCCATCCGACAATGCATCGCGACATTGACAGACAAGCTAATTTCTACCCAAAGGACCACCACTACACGAGCAACACAGTCAGCTGTGAGCTTAAGCACGACCCTGCAATGATGGCTACGCCGGTCTACGATCTAGACCCAGACATGATGGGTATGCTAAACAACAATTGGAACCTCAACGCCGGTCCGCCTCGCCCGCCCGTCCCCGATTGGAGCTTTGAACCTGCGCATCCCGAGACACAAGCGCTCTACGACCCGAGCGCCCTCACAGTGGGAGCGAGCAACCAGCATATTCCAATCTCTGGACCCGCGATAGTGGTGCCACCGACATTCGGTTGTGGAGGATCCCTGATTAACAACCAGCAGCCGATGGGTCCTCCGGTGGATCCGTTCATCGACGTAGGCAGTAGCTTTGTGATGCCATACCAGGATTGCGCTATCCTACCCACGCTTTATGACGGCGGGGCCACGTACAAGCCCCTATTTGATAGCGCAAGAATCAATGACACAGGAATAAGCCAGTTCGCACCGAATGGAGCTCAGCTGATTGACAACCAGCTGGATGAGACTGCAGTGTCATTCTTCAGGGCCAACAGCGCGCCACAGACGGGTTTGACTGCTCACCGCACCCTCGAGGGTGCTTTTGACAGCAATACGCTATTTAACGAGGTGGCTCATCCGCCTGCTGTTACTTTGGCGGCTATCAACGGAATCGCGATGCCTGAATTGGAAGATGACGATAGCGACTGGAACGGATCCTCTTCTGGTTTCTCGGCGGTGGTATCGTCACCGATTGCTGATTGCCCTATCCCAACGTCCACTGCGGGGATAAATATCGCTAAGACTTCAGTTGCGAACAAGACAGGAACCAAGAAACCCAAGCGGATACGCCGACTATGCTCCGTTTCTGGATGCGGCAAACGTGCACGATCGCAAGATCTGTGCATTGCCCACGGGGGTGGACGTCGATGCATGGTGGAAGGATGCGAAAAGAGCAGTCAAGGAGGAAACATGTGCATCAAACATGGAGGTGGAAAACGCTGCAAACATCCAGGCTGTGACAAGGCAGCGCAGACCAACGCCCTGTGTAAGGCACACGGCGGAGGACCGCGCTGTCAGTTCCCAGGCTGTACAAAAAGCTCCCAAGGCGGAGGGTTTTGCCGTTCTCACGGTGGTGGCAAGCGCTGCGCCGCCCAGGGATGCAACAAAGGCACGCAGCGTGGAGATTTTTGCGCGGTGCATGGAGGCTCTCGCTTCTGCGAAATCTCAGGCTGCATGCGCAACGACCGCGGCGGAGGGTTTTGCGCACATCACGGCGGGGGTAAGCGGTGTAGCGTCTCAAATTGCAACCGCTCGTGCAGGCGAAACGGTCTGTGCTCAACGCACCTGCGTCTGCTAGGACACGAAGCTGGCGACAAAATCGGCAACGTCATGCCGCCTGCGATTTCGGCAGCCATGTCAACCAGCAGTGGCGTGTCGTCTGTTTAACCTTGGATCTCACAAAATAATTATGGCAGCTCCCGGCTAATTAATTATGAGCTTGACACTAAAAAACGTTTCCGTAAGTTTAAATCGGGTAGTGATATTAAATTGCTTCGCATCTTTGACGAGCAGTTCAATAATCGAAAAGATCGGTCAAGTCGAAGCTTTGGATTACAGTACATGTAGACCTAAAAACCAGTTACAAATCACCCAGCGTCTGTGCAGAGCACTAAACAACTACTGACCGAAAATTCTTCTAGATGTCATCTAGTAGATGACACACATTCGAACTTTCTAGATCTATTAGCGATGTTATCGATCTTCTAGTACAATGTGCAGCTACTTTAAGGTACTTTATGACGACAACGTTTGCCACTCCAACTGTTAAACTTAATCACTTCGCAATTAACCTAATAGTTACCAAGCTACAAAACATCCCCCCAACTCGCCCAAGATGTCAGGTCGCACTGGTCGCCGCTCTCACGCTACGGAAGAAGATCACTGCCAGCAAATGCTGAGAATGTTTGATGATCGAGACATCGTCCGCCGCGCTGAGCTCGACAGGTTTTCACGCGTGCTCCGCAATGATGACGACGTGCATGTCGACTCACCGTGCCCAATTTTCGACGCGTGGTACATGGAAGGAGGAGCTGACGCCGTAAGCCGCTTGACCAACTTCACTCCTCGCGAACTCAGCGCACTGTGGCCCATAGTGCGGCTGCACGTCACGCGCTACTGGAACGTCGGAAGAGAACGTCGCTCTCAGTTTGCTGGAAAGGACGTTCTCTTCATGACGGTAGCTGTGTTCAAACACGGAGGCACCTGGGATATGAATGCTCACGTTTTCCGGATCAAAACCCCGACGTTTATCAAGACGATAACGTCGTTTTGCCGTGTACTTGCGCCGCGCAT